ATAAATGCTAATTTTGATTCTTCAATTTTAAGATTTTACATAATTTTTGTCCCTTATCTTTTTTTGCTCATTTTGGTCCCTCAAATATGAGTAATTTGCATTTTTAGTCCTTTTATCAATGTGCTAAAGAAACTTAATTAACAGAAGAACTACAAATGTATATTATTTATAGTTGAAGGACCAATATGAGCAAAAAAAAAGTTGAGGGATGAAAATTGTGTAAAATCATAAAGTTGATGGACCAAAATTGATATTTATGATTCTAGTGCTTGTTATATAATATTAAGATATTATTGAATTTTTAAGGCATGTACTACTTAATTATGGGAGAAAATCGGAGTTGGATGTATCATCGTCGAGATGAAATGGGGTATTAGAACAATGAATTTAATGCTGGGGTAGAGATTTTCTTAGATTTTGCACTCTCATAAATGGACTTGATGTTTTGTGCAATGAATATGATTCGGTGTCCGTGTAGTAAGTGTTGGAATAGAGAATGACATCATCAATGCAAAGTACAATCTCATCTTATTAAGAACGACTTCATGGATGGGTATTTTATTTGGAAAAGACACGGGGAAATTATTCATAAAAAACAGCGTTGCACCCAAGTGGGTGAATCATCAAGTGCTGCTGTTGCTACTACTGCTACTATGAATAATGTTCCAAGTGTCGTTCAACTCAAAGACATGCTTCATGATACTATGGGACCAAATTTTTTTAATAATGAAAATAGTGCCACAGGGGTAGAAGATGCAGCACAATTTGATGCTCGTTTTGGTGATCCATATGGTGTCAGTACAGAATCGATATTTAAGGAGCCAAGAGGAGATGCAAAGGAGTTCTTTGATCTTTTGTGAGTAGCTGATACACCTCTTTTTGAAGGGTGTGATGATGGTGTCATTGTCTTAAAGTGGGTGTGTGAGCTCATGAGTGCAAAAACACTTTTTAACATGGGTGTTACTAATTGGGATTATGTGCTAAAGCGTAGTTTAATGGCCTTCAAAAAAGTTGATAGGGAGAAATTGCCAACAGATTATTATAGTGCTAAGAAGATGTTGAGGCATCTGGGTCTCGGGTATAAAAAGTATGATATTTGTGTGAACAATTGCATTTTGTATAATGGAGAATATGAAAGTCAGTGTTATTTACAGTGTCTAGTATGTGAAAAGCCACAATTTAAGCAGTGTGATGTGCATTCTGTTAAGCCTATACCAAGAAAGTCTTTGTGATATCTTCCAATTATTCTTAGATTTCAGAGATTGTATATTTTTAGGAAAACTACAGAGCATATGACCTGACATTTAAATTGTCATAATGAAAATGAGAAAATTTTTCATCCTGCATGTGGAGAGGCGTGGAAACATTTTGATAGCACTCACCCTGAGTTTGCTAGTGAACCGAGGAATGTTAGGTTAGGTCTGTGCACTGATGGGTTCACTCCTTTTGGACATTCTGCATCTCCATACTCTTGTTGGCCAGCATTTGTGTCAGTTTATAACATGCCTCCAGCAATGTGCATGAAGCAAGAATATGTATTCTTTTCATTGATTATCCAAGGTCCCCAAAGTCTTGGAAAGAATATTGATGTAATGCTTCGACCACTAATTGATGATTTAAAGCAGCTTTGGTATTCTGGAGTCCAAACTTATGATAGCTTTAGGCGTTAATACTTTTTGATGAGAGTTGCACTTATGTGGACCATTAATGACTTACTTGGGTATGGAATGTTGTTTAGGTGGAGCACACATGGTAAATTAGCTTGTCCCTATTGCATGGAAAATTCGAAGGCCTTTTGGTTGGAAAACGGTTGGAAGACATCATTTTTAGATTGTCACCGACAGTTTTTGCCATCGGAGCATCCATTTAAAAGAAACAAGAATGACTTCATAAAGGGTCGTACAGAGAATGGAACAATGTCAGAGAGATTGTCTGGTGATGAGATGCATAGTTGCATCCATTGGCCGCATGATGTACTATTTGGTAAGCCACCTCAAAAATAGGAAATCCACGGATTTGGTGAAGTGCACAATTGGGTTAAAAAGAGCATATTTTGAGAATTACCATATTGGCACACAAACTTAATTCGACACAATTTACATGTCATGTACTGTAAGAAAAACTTTTTTGACAATATCTGTCATGCCCCAAAACCCAAATTCGAGGCGCGACAGACGCCGTGCACTCGTGAGAGGATCCCACAAATGCACAAGGCTCGGAACTTATCAAATTCACATCTGACAATCCACAAAATCTGATGATCAAATCTTTAAAATCTCTCTGATATCATAAAATCTCCAAATACACTCTAGTTTACAAGATCATGATTTCTTTCTAAAATCTATATCAATCTCGAAATGGCTAGCTTTCTAACTCGTTACTTCCCGTGGTTTTCCCGTCCTTGGTTTCACTTCCTGAAATGGTGGACAAGGAAAAACTATGAGATAAACTCAGTAAGTAAATATGGAGTCCCCTTAATTAAACTTATAGCATGCCAACAAGTGCAATCACGAAAAACGGATACAATACGGGAACGAAATAGACATCTCCTCTATAGGTCACGGCTAGTGTTATAAACCTCCCACTGACAGGCACACGATTTACTAGTGTATAATCCCCACTAGCAGGGTCACTTGTACGAACTGGTTCTATCACTAACATATTGACATGTGCTGACATGTGCTAGCATTTAACCCCCACTAGCAGGGTTACAATAACATATCGACATGTGCCAACATGTGCTAGCGTTTATAAACTCCCTCACTAGCAGGGTCACTAATAACATGACCACATTGGAGACAAAACAGGCAGAAGTTAACAGAAAAATCATACTTTACCAATCACTTTCAGATCATCAGGACAATCAATTAAATTCCAAGTAGGCATGCTCAATTTAATGAAAAGCATCATAATCTCATTTCAAATCAATCATGCTCATTTCTGTATAAAACGGGTTTAGTCTTGTCATCACTTCAAAAACAAATCAAAACATACTTTTAAAATCAAAGGGCGTTACCATAATTTACTTACTTCACTCGCATAAAATCGAGCACTCAATCTCAGTGCTAACTGACAGAACGATCGATAACCTAATCAAAATATCCACAATTAATTATCGTATCACCACAAATTCAAACTGAAATTATCATCAGAATCACCCTTAATCACAATGCTATTTCTATCAATCTCCACATTATCAGATATCTTCAAATTCATTCTTATATCACAAACTAATCATTTAAATCCCCGTTAATTATTGACCCTCGGTGCGTGAACAGTAACCGGTGAACAGTGATCACGATGTGAACAGTACTGTGAACAGTAACTGCACTTCCAAAATTGGCCAAAACACTAGATAATCTCACGGGGTTTTCTCTCCAAAAATCACAACAGTCAATTAACACTCAATCACACAAATCCCACTTGAATTAAGCAACAAAACACACTTAGACCCCTCTTAATTGCTACCGGAATTTCCCCATTTTTCCTAGCCAAATTCGGACAACACAGCCAGCAAAGAAATGGACAAAATTCAGCAATCAATGATGAGATTTCAAGCTTGGAGGAGCTGTCCATACCAGAATTTAGCAAGCAAAGCCGGAGCTGCAATTTGGGGAAGAGCCGGCGGCATGGAAGGAAAATTCTGCGGGGGACTCACGGTTTAACCCAAAATTAAAGGAGCCCAACTTAAATCAAAGCTAAAGAAGGGAGAATTCGAGCTATTTCTTACCAAAAAACCGAGCAATTCACCCCCACAAAGCAGGAGCAGCCGGCAGTGAGGAGGAAGGACAGAGCAGATCCGGGATTTTCCAGCAGGGGGGAGAATTTCTGGGTTCCAAATCAGGTTCTTGGACAAGAAAAGAAGGGAAAAAACCAAGCTTTCTCACCAATTTTCCAAGGCATGGCTGGGTTCCTCTTTTTTTTTCTTTCGGGTGGCTGCAGCAGGGTCGGGAAGGGCAGAGGCACGCGGGGAAGAAGAAGGAAGAAAAAGAAGAAAAATATCAGCCATCCTTATCCAATTTTCTACCCTTTTAAGCCTTCAAGTTTGGACATTTTGGCTAATAAGCCCCAAAACAATATTTTCCTCACAATCAAGTCCCTAACTCACACTTAAATATTCTAGAAAATTTTGGGGTATCACAATATCCTTCATACAATAATGGGTGACCCTATGACAAAACATAACATAAATGCAAGATTTGATCTGGAATTGTATTGTAAAAGGAAAAGTCTGCACATATCGAAAACATGAGTGAATTCGGGTAAAAAGCCAAAGGCCACTTATGTTCTTAGTAGGGATTAAAGAAAATCAATATGTCAACGGTTGAAGTTGAAGTTGAAGTTGAAGGAACTTAAATTCCCTGATGGATTTGCCTCCAATATATCTCGATGTGTCAATACACAAGAGGCATGATTATTCGGTATAAAAAGTCACGACTGTCACATTTTCATGCAAAGCCTTATACCAATTGCATTTCATGATTTATTATCAAAACAAGTTTGGGAGCCACTTGTTGAGATTAGTGAGTTCTTTAGGGCCTTGTGTGCTCCAGTGATTCAGGTCAATGACATGGCAATATGACAGGAGAGGATAGTAGAAATCATTTGTAAGCTAGAGCGAATCTTTCCACCTTCATTCTTTGACAATATGGATTATCTTGCAATCCACCTTCCATACGAGTCTCGTGTATGAGGACCGGTGCAATTTCGATGGATGTATCTATTTGAGAGGTAAATATAATTAATGTATAATATATGAAAATAAATATAACTCCATATATGATATTTTGTTGCATTGAGGTTAGAATACCAATTTGGTACTTCAACTTTCAATTTTATATCAAAGCTACCATTGAACTTAAAAAAGAATTAAAAATGGTCCTTTCAAGGACCATTTTGAAACTTTTTTAAATTTTGAGGGTATATTTGATATAAACTTAGAAGTTGAGGTACCAAATTAGTATTTTAATTATAACATAATTATATAATAATTCTTGATGAATAAGTCGAATGCATTGCCTTAAGTTGATGGTGAAAAACAAAGCACATCCTGAAGCATCCATATGTGAAAGTTACATAATGTTTGAGATCACAAATTTTATCTCTCATTACTTTGATGATGGAGTACATAGTACAATTGATAATCCCCTTAGGAATATTGTTGTTGGATTTGGTGATAATAGTGGTATATCCATCTTTAAGTGTGTTGGAAAACGTATTGGTTCCAAAATTGGAAGACATTGCTTGACGGTAAAGGAATGCAAAACTACTTTGTATTATGTGTTAATGAATTGCGAGGATGGGTCAAGTAAAAAACCTACACTAAAATCTTTAATTTGTTATATTAAGATTTATTAAAATTAAAATACTAACAATATATAAAAAACTATTATCATATTTTCTAATTTATTTGAGAGAGAACAATGTCAAAATATGAATCCTTAACAAATTCAAAGAAAACGAGAAAGAGACCTTGTGTCCTGATTTGAACAAGCTATGAGTATTTAATAATATGACTATTCAATTCCTTAACATATATATGTTCTTTCTCTTCAACTGCATCTAACATTTTCTTCTGCAATCTATATATTTTAGGTAATTAGTGATGAATTCATTAATGTCCATGAGCATATCAAAGGTTTATCCAACGGTCCAAAAAATTATGTTTCTTGCTATAATGAATATATTGTCAATGGATTCCGATTTCACACTACCCTTTATGGTAGAAATAAGCGAACAATGAGTTATGGTGTTTGTGTTGTCGGATCTATTGGTACTGAATCAGATTATGATTTTTATGGTGTGCTTCAAGAAATAATTCAAATTGAGTATTATGGATCGATCTATCCATAGGCAGTTGTTTTATTCAAATGTGATTAGTACAAGATTCCTCCTGCTCAAGGAGTTCAAGTGGATCAAAAACATTGATTGATTGACATGAATCCTAGAAGATACCTTCGATCTTATGAGCATTTCATTCTTGTTAGTCAGGCAAGGCAAGTTTATTACACACCATATCCATCTATTAATCATGAAAGAAGGGGATGGATTACTAAACTTAAAATTAAAGTTAGGAGTATCATTGAGGCTCCTGAGAATAAAAATGACCAACAAGAAGGATTGACACCATATTTCTAAGATGATGAGCCTCCTATTCCTCAACAAATAAATATGGATGACATTGCTTATGAACCTATGCAATATTCTGATGGCAGGTTTATTGAAATACATGAAGAAGCTGATGTTGGGGAAGGGATTGGGGAAGAGGATGAAGAAGGAGAATGGGAAGATTTTGAGACATCAGAAGAAGAAAACATAAAAACATATGTTGAGGGGAATGATAGTAGTGATGAGTAGGCAATAATATTGAAACTATTGAAACTTATTGTTATATTTATGGTTACTACTTGCTTGTCTTTACTTTTATAATTATATTAGTTGTATTATATGTTATTTAATTTAAAATTGTATAATGTTAATATTACTTTCAAGTTAATATTTGCTTATTTATACTTATATAATTATATTAGTTGGAATAAAATTTATACGTTCATGTTTTTATCATATTATTAATTTTATATTTTTTTGTTAATATTTATATAATTTTTTTATTTATAATAGTTATACTGTATGTTATTCAAGTAAAATATAATTTGATTATTATTTGCTTATCTATA